TATATATATACACACACACACACACACACACACACACACACGTGTGTGTGTATATATATATATATATATAGAGAGAGAGAGAGAGAGAGAGAGAGAAACATCGGGTTGTTCATCTTATTTATGCATTCATTGGTTGATTCTTGTATGTGCCCTGACCAGGGATGGAACCCACAACCTTGGTGCATCTGGATGATGCTCTAACCAACTGAGCCACCCGGCCAGGGCCTTTTTCTTTCTTAAAAACAATTTCCCCAAGTTTCTAAGTCATACACACTCATCATTTGCAACTGAAACAAGGAAAGAAACTTGAAGAGGAGGAGGTAGAGGCAGAGTGTGGGCAGGGCGTGGGCTGAGCATGGAAGCGGCCACCCCACCCCCAGCCGGGGCAGAGGGGCTCGGCGTGGCTGACCCCGGTCAGGGCCCAAGTCCTGTGGGACACAGAGGTCACCGGGCACCAGTCGTGCCCCGTGACCAGGTGGGTGGTGCTGAGGACGGACTAGAGGCTGCCTAGAGTCACTTGTCTGACATGTTTACACAAAGAGCTTGCAGAGGCCATAGAAAAGGTGAAGAAATGCCAGCGCCGTTTCGAAACTCGCTGGCTGTATCACCCCCTTTGGGCACCGTCCAGAGGCCCTCGAGGGCTTCCTGTCCTGTTCAGGCGCTAAGGGACTGGGGCGCAGCCTCTCCCCGCTCAGCTCCGGGGTCCCTAATAGAATTGCCCGGCTGGAGGCGACTTGCCTACAGCACGGGGCTGCCTTAGATCTCTCCATAAACCCCCGTAAATGCCGCCCTTCCGGTTTATTCCAGCTGACGCCGCGTCCTCCTCCACGGGTCCTCCTGTCCGGTCCTCCAGGACCTTTGCTCTTCCACCTTCCAGCCTCCTTTCCCTGCTCTCGCCTTCGCCGGGACCTGCCTGACACCTGGCTTGTTCCCAGGGCCGCAGTCTCCCCCCTCCCCCCACAGGGAGGCCTGGTCAGTGTCCCCACCCCACACACCGCAGAGGCGGGGCCGCACCCTGCTGGCTCCCCGGGTACCAGTTCTGCCACCCTGTGACCTGTCTGCCTGACACCCCCGGCTCCTCCCAGCGTGGCGCCACCTCTGCCACCTGAAACCACTCGTCCAGTCCACCCTCTGTGTCTCTCTGCCCTCCCCCGTCAGCCCCGGGGACTTTGGACTCCTCCCTTTCCTTCCATCTTCTCTCTCCTGTAGCCTTTCCTCCCCTAACGCCAGACCTCACTATCATTTCAACTACATTCCTGCAGACCGTCAGCCCTCGCCTTCTCTCCTCCTGCCTGATTAAACCCCGGCCTCCACCCTCTCGGTCCCACCCACTGTGGGTGGGAAGGTCACGCAGCCCGGGATTCCTAGCACAAAGGTTTCAAGGTCCCTCATCTCACTGGGCTCCTCCACGCTGCCTAGACCCTCCCACGTCCCGATCAATCCCTGTCCCACAGCCCTCAGGGCTGTTTCAGGCGGGCAGTTACCAAGACACCCACTTCATCACCTCCCTGCCCCTTTCGGCAAACCCCCTCACCTCTTACATCCCCGGAGAACCTGGGCCACAGCAGCCGTCCATCCTCCTAAAACCACCTGCACCCACAGCCGTGTAGCGCCTTCCCTCCAGGCTGCGCCGTGGTCCTGGCCTGCCCTCCGCAGGGACGCTGCTCTCGCAGCCGAGCCCTTCACCTGTCCCCACGGGTTCTCCCCTCGCGGTATTTAAAGCACCGGAGCCTCTTCCATGTTAAAGTAATGATGGTAATTGGCGGTGGTGCCGGGCGGCCGAGGGAGGCCCCAGCCCCCTCCCAGTCCTTGTCACAGCCCGAGAAGGAATTCAGGGGCAGACAGACAGACTTAGCAAAGCACAGGAAGCTCCGTAGAGCCAGTGCCCACCGAGAGGTGAGAGCCGGCGGCCTCAGAGAGCCAGGCGTGCCTCGGGTCTGGGTGGGAGGTTTTTATTAAATGTGGGCAAGGGGGGCATGGGGTGGTCCTCTGCCTCTGACGTTTGTGGGGCCACTGCCTGTGCCCTGGTCCTTGTCCCTCCTCTGCAGACATCGGTTTCTCTCCTTGTTTTGTGTGTGCTCTCAGTCACAGGAAATCGAGGAGGGGGAGCGGTGGGAGGGGGCAGTGGAGGTCGTGTCTGTGATGTGCCAGCCGAGAAGGAGAGGGGAGGGCAGAGCTCGAGGCCTTTGTTCCCTGCTCTCACTTTCCTGCCTCAGTAATAACAACAACGACACTGTCATCTTCTGCTCTCTATGCCTGCCTAGCTGGGACCCTCTTTCCCTTCACAGTCAGACTTCCTGCGGGAACGTCTGACCTCCATCCGCCCCTCCCTCATCTCCTGCTCACACCTCAGTCCCGGGCATCGAGGCTGCTCTTGCCACTCGGCCCTCCTCCTTGCTCTGGAGTCTTGATCTTTGCAAGAAGAGATTCCCCTGCAGGGCTGTTTCTCTGGCTCCTCCCGGGCCTGCAGCGCTTCAAACCCTCTTCCTTTCACCCATTGACCTTGCGCAGATGGACTCACAGATTTGCCCCTTGTGAAATCCTGATGTCAAAAGATTTCCAGGTGATTCTAATGTGCAACCAAGGTTGAGAATCACTGTTATAGAGGAAGAGAGAGAATTTGTTGTTCCACTTATTCATGCTTTCGTGGGTGGATTCTTGTATGCGCCCTGAGCCCTGCCTGGGGACGGAACCCGCAACCGTGGCCTATGGGGACGACACTGTAGTCAACTGAGCTACCTGGCCAGGGCCCTGTTTGGAGATTTTTAACTGAATTGGACTGATTTTGTCCTTGCCCTCCCCGTGTCGCCCCGAACACGTGCAGCTGCTCTGTGAAACGATGGAGGGCCACGCGTGTCACCAGAAAAGGTGTAGGCCTCTCGGGCGTTCAGGCGGACACTTGCCTGCTGACCAGGGCAGCTGGCCAGCGCTTCCTGGGGAGGGACGAGAGTCAGCGTCCACACTGGCCGGGAGATCCCGGTGTGGTCACGTGTCCACGCCACGCTGGCCGGGCAGTCTCTGCACCCAGCACTGGGACCCCCAGAAGCCAGTGGCCGCAGGCCACCCCGTGTTCCAAACAAGCTCACCTTCCCCCGTTGGAGGCTGGCACCTGCGCTGCCCAGCGCTCTGCCTTCTGCCCGGGCTGCGTCCAGTCAGTAAAGGGGCTGGACGAGCAGGAAGGCCAGCAGAGACGTCTAACCCAGAGCCTCTCTGAAGCATCAGAGGAAGACAGGGCGAGTGTTCTAGAACACTGAACGCACTCGATGGGCCAGGGGAGCAGCGAGGACATGACAGAGAGAGAGAGAGAGAGAGAGAGAGAGCGCCCCCCCCCCCAGAGGCCCTTTTCCGGCTGCTGCCACTTGAGCGTAGACCAGCCTTTCCGTCGGGTCCCCGGCCCCCCCCCCCCCCCCCCAGGCCCTTTTCCGGCTGCTGCCACTTGAGCGTTGACCAGCCTTCCTGTCGGGTCCCCGGCCCAGGGGGCATGGCTCACCCCTATAAGGCCCCCCCCCCCGGGTTTACTGCATACGGGCTCTCGTTGCCCCGACTGCCAATGCCAGACGGTGCCAGGACGCCCGTCCCCTGGTACAGAGGGAACTGGGGTGGCGATGAGACCCCTCCTCCCTGCCCCTGGGACCCAGGGACTAAGTTGACCAGGGAGGGAGACGGAGGGTGCGTCTCCCGGTGTCTTCCCTGGAGAAGCGGGATTTGGGGGACCCCTGAGTTCCGAGCACCCCCCGTCGGGGCCTCGCGCTGAGCCGGCGTCTGTCTTTTTATTTTTTTATTTTTTTAAATTGTTTTATTGCTTAAAGTATTACAAAGGGTATTACATATGTCTCCTTTTTCCACGCCCTTGACAATCTCCTGGCCTCCCCTACCCCCCAATGTCTTATGTCCATTGGGTATGCTTATATGCATGCATGTAAGTCCTTCGGTTGATCTCTTACCCCCCGCTTCTGCCCCCCGACTCTCCCCGGCCTTCCCGCTGCAGTTTGACAATCTGTTTGAGGCAGCTCTGCCTCTGTATCTATTTTTGTTCATAAGTTTATAATGGTCT